GCCAGCATGTTTCGCGCTCCCCAGTGGCACGGCGCCACGCAAACGCACTTCCCACCAAGGCCGCGCAAATCCCAATGGGGCTGCGACATCACGAACGTACTTTGGCCACACGGTCTGTCCACACGCTAGAAGCAAACATATCACATGATACCGCCAATGATCCCGCTCACCAGTGACACGCCGCGTTTACGCCAGCATGTTTCGCGCTCCCTAGTGGCACGACGCCACGCAAACGCACCTCCCACCAAGGCCGCGCAAATCCCAATGGCACTGTAACATCACGAACATACTTTGGCCACAGGGTCTATCCAGACACTAGAAGCTGACATATCACATGCGCGTTTCGTGCGAGACTTCCTCCAAAAGTGAAGCGGGAAGTCTCCAAAACGAGCGTTTCGTACTCCAAAAGTGAAGCGGCAAGTCTCCAAAACGCACTCTCGCCTGCATTTTGCGCCCTCGGCGCGCACGATCTCCGCAGAGGGTTGCGCCGGAACCGGACAAATCGCACTCTCGCTCGCATTTCGCGCGCTCGACACGCACGATCTCCGCAAAGGGTTGCGCCAGAACCGGACAAATCGCACTCTCGCCTGCATTTCGCGCACTCGACACGCACGATCTCCGCAGAGGGTTGCGCGCACACCGGACAAAGCGCACTCTCGCCTGCATTTCGCGCACTCGACACGCACAATCTCCGCAGAGGCTTGCGTGCGCACCGACAGAACCGCACTCTCGCCTGCATTTCGCGCACTCGACACGCACGATCTCCGCAGAGGGTTGCACGGGCATGGGACAAATCGCACTCTCGCCTGCATTTCGCGCTCTCGACGCGCACGATCTCCGCAGAGGGTTGCGCGCAAGCCGACAGAGTCGCACTCTCGCCTGCATTTCGTTCACTCGACGCGCACGATCTCCGCAGAGGGCTGCATTTTCGGTTGACGCTGTTCGTCCCACCCTCCGCCTTTAAAGAGAACTTAGAAAGTGGGGGAATGTTGCTCGTTAGGATATCTCCCGTGAAAGCTTTTCATGCTTACACTTGCATACTTACACTTGCGTGCTTACACTTGGATACTTACACTTGCATGCTTGCACTTGGGTGCTTTCACGTGCAAAACTTTCACTTGGACACTGCAGTGCCATTGTAAGTATAGAAGTGTAAGTGTTCAAGTGATTTTCCGGAAGAACCCTTCGCAGTGCTTTCGGGAAAAGCCAATATGCCCCACCACACTCTTCCCCGTGGGAGTCCTATAGAAGTCTTGATGAAGGCCTTGTTTGGCTTTTTGTCGGGACAGTATTCCCGCTGAGTATACTAGGCCAGGCTAGTTTGCTGTAAGTCATTCGCAATGTCTTGGGGTTTGGTTTGATGTTCGGTGCTGTTCCGTTGTTTGGTGCAAGTCCATTTTCCTCCAACTGGGCACATGTTCAGCCTGTGGTAACAACAGCCGTTCGAGCGTTGCTCAGGCACACACGGCAGGGCGTGGTCAACCGCGACACGATGAAGGCTCTCCTGCAGTCGCGTGGCCGGACTATTTAGATCTAGTTATAGTGAGGTTAGATGAGGTTAGTGTATTGCAGGGGCACCTTGATTTGCTTGAGGTTCCTCTTGAGCAAGCAGGGAAGCCGCAAAGGTTTGAGCTCTGCTCACCTCGATCGCATCGTCGATTCTTTTGTGGAAGAGTCTCCAGAAGCGTTGGCCGCAGAGTTGGAGGGTAGGTACCTGTTTGTTTAAGACCTGCTACGCACACTGTCATGTCCTGTGAAGGTAATGCAATAGCTATTCATACGGCATCGGAATCTGTGGGGATCCTGGAATGCTTCTTGGAAGCCGAGGACTCTGGGAGCATCAACGCGAATCAGTTCATTCAGTGGGTGTGGAGCACCCTGGCGATGCTCAGTTCTTGGGGCTTGTAGAAGAGAGAGAGAGAGAGAGAGACAGAGAGAGAGAGCACGTTCTTGGGGGTTGCAAGCTTCATCCATGTCAGATGTGGCGTGCGCGACACGGTGTGACATGTGGAAAACGATGGAAAACGTAATGCAGGAAGCTTTCGGAGATGCTGCGTTCTATTGATATTGCCCAATGTTGCATAATGAATGCTTCATTGCAAGCACCTGTGATCACTGCCATGAACTTGAACTCAGGCGGTGCAAAGTCCCGGAAATGATACGGAATCGATTTTTCAATCTGACCTGCTTCCATCGCCAGACGCTACCACGTTTGGCAGTGCTTGCATGTGTAGAGCCCAACGTAGCTTGTTTTGTAGAATTGCCTGGAAAGTGACTTTGACACATGCAACTTCATGGCATTCTCACTGACACTGTGTAGCTGCTGTGTGTTGCAAGCTACTTTGGAGAAGCCTTCACGGCCGCTGACTCAATCCTATGCTCGGTGCAATTGCGTCATGTCCGAAGATGCTGCTCAACAATTAGTTATATAGCTATGTGTATTATACATATACATATACATATGCGTATATGCATGTACACACACACACACATATATATATATTATATATATAGTACGCTAGTATAAACCCACCCAAAGACTTTTCAAATGGACATTGAAAGCAGCTGTAGCTGCATTGCGCACGAGCATCCTCTCAGGAGTGATGTGCTTGCCCGACAATTCAAGCTGCAAGGGTTTTCGATTGTGTTGCTACCTTGTTACAAGTGCAATGCTTTGGTTTGGTGAAGAGCCTTGTGACGAAAGCCTTACCACTCTCGGAGACCGACAAGAAGACTTACTAGACCAGTAGATGAGTAGATCGAAGAATTCAGCATGCGTTTGTGGCATGTTTCATGCTGCAGAGTAGTCAGTCTGCCTCCCTTAAGGGGGGGTAGTCTAGAACCTCAAGGAGGCAACCCAGATCGGAAAAGCCATGTGGTCGCGGAGGGCCAGTCCGGGCCAGAGAGACGTGCTGTCCACGTCATTTTTGCTCCGTCTGGCAGGAATGGAAACCGGAGGAGCCGGAGATCAACTGGGTGCCGGTACTCAAGGGTCAAGAGTGTCACATCACTCATCCCTTCTGGCCCACGGACTGATTCTAATCATTCTAATCGATTCTAAAACCAAAATAAGTCCATGCCCACCAAGGAGGCAGTGCATGATGCGGCAATGAGAGGAATCCTACCGGTGGCAGAGAGCCAGCCTTAGATGATGCCAACGAACTGAAACCTCGAGAGGCACGGAGCAGCCTGGAGCTGGTGCTATGTTGTGTCTTTCTGAAGTGATGTACTTCAGAGGTTCAATCAAACGTACCATGCCCCACCTCTTTCGTCTCACTTCATAGCTCGATCTCATTTTCTTTGATTGCCTCGGTGTGGGTCAAAAGGGGGGCCCAGTCCCAGTGGAATAACTACCAAGTACAGTTTGGTAATTGTTTTATCTTCTACTCTAGTAGAAGACCACTTTCGGGCTGTGAGCTCTTCGACCATACATATCTGACCTCATCTCATTCCAGATCACATGAGCTCTTTGTTGACCTCCTTTGTGGTCCTGTCATCCCCGGCTGGGACTTTGAGGTCCAAGAGTTCCAGACTTTAGAATGCTGCTAGGCTCTTGTCGTGCCCCCCTGACGCATCCTAAAGTCCTAAAGCATCCTAAAGCTTTGCCCTAATCAACTGCAGACGTCCACAAGCTCTCGATGTTTTCGCCTGAAGTCAGTTGTGAGGAAAGACTTCAACGCCTTCGGACCACCCACCGAGAAGGCCAACCAGTGGCTCAGTTCTGGCAGGTTCACACGGAAAATGATTCTTGGATGTCGGTCCAAACACATCACACTACCAAGTTCAATCTGTTTCAACCTGCTGAGTTCGTCGGTCTATTTTTGTGGTCGCCAGGCCATGTGGCGTCCCCGACTTGTATTTGCTCTGGAGTCTTTCCGTGTTGAGGACCTGGTTGGTTTTGCGGACTGCCGTTGATGAAACTCTCAACATGGGTCCTGAGTCTGGAAACCGAGTCAATCCGGTTTTCTTCCCTTGGTAGACCCACAGCTTTTGAAAGAACGAGTGTCGATCCATGAGGGTCTTGTAGCTTGTGGCTTGAGATTGTAGATATCGCCCAACCGGCTGGATTCACTGCGGGCATGCCTGGACCTCAGGAATGGAAGCCATGCCCAGAAGATGAATTATTTATATATAATATATACTATATTGCCTCACGTGAATCCAGTCACAAGGATCATGTTTTCTTCTAGGCTGGCCTGGTGGCCGCGCGAAGGCCGGGCTTTCAAGGGCTTTGTTCACCGGATGTACCATGACGGTGTGAACGCGACGTTTTTCCTTTCTTCCGACATTTGCGACCGCCCGGCCAGCCAATGCGCATGTTTTTCTTTGATTTTGGGCTCAGTCGGCAGATCCGACCTCCCCAATTCTTTCACTCGGGCGCGCAGCTCGGGATTGCGCAGTCCTGCAATGCCCCTTGGCAAGCACTCTGTCAACCACCCTGCCCAGACACTACTAGTAGGGGCTCCTGGCTTTACTACTGGGAGCAAGAAGCTACTAGGAGCAAAGAAGCTACTAAGCAGCTACTAGTAGCTCCTGGCCTTACGTTATCCCTCTTTGTGCCTGAGGCAGCTGCTGCTGAAAGCAGCTTTGCTGGCGTTGTCAGGCCTGACGCGTCGCACACTATGAGGCAAAGGTTGGATGATATGGTATAGACAGCACACGAAAACTCATGAGGCTAAGCTATATATATATATATATATTCACATGACATACATGCTAGATGCATACGTTGGTTCGACAGCCAAAATCTTTTTGGTCAGTGCACGGTGCATCGCGGGTTGCTGAGATGAGTCTCAGGCACGGAAGTTGCAGCGCCGTGACCGCAGAAAGGGGATCCTTTGTTGACATCTTCAGTTGGGGTGAGGTCAAGCGTCCCTTTTTCGTCCATTCCGCCCATGCCTGTTTTGGCAACTCCATACCGTGAGGAGCAGCAACTGAGGCGGAGGGCATTCCAACCTTGCGAGAGGTTCTTTTGCATGAGGCGAAGCATCGATTGCAAGATTGGCTGCCTGACTACAGCATTCGCTTCTTTCTTGGTCGACTTTGTTCTTGGCTCAGGCCCCATCTCCCGTCGCAAAAGTGCATTTTGTGTGGTAAAAACGCTGGTTTGGTGCTTGGAGTCTTAGAATCATGTCGTTGACCTGGTGTTCTGTTACCATGATATGCCAGGATGGTGACGTCCCATTTTGAAATGACAGATGATGGAACTTCACTGCGGGGTTCTACGGTTCAACCACATGTATCACCCCTACCCCACCAACCTTGGTTTTGCGCAGGGAGGTGCTAGAGTGTATATTTTATATGCGAATTTCTGACACCTTCTAACTCACAGTCACTTGTAACTTGAGGACCCCGCAGGTACCTACGTAGTACTCATATACTGTATTTGGGTGGGAGAGGGGCGGGCCCAATAAATGTAACATCAGCCCTCCTACGTTGGAAGTTACATTTCTTCACGCCCTGAACATATTTTTTTTTGGGGGATCTTCATGATTTTGACACTAGAGTCACTAGAGATGAGTGTGCGATTTGCATTGTTTTGTTACATATCGCAACTGCCAAGAGGTCTAGAGTCTAAAGGAAATGCAGTTTCTTTACATGTAATTCCCAGGAAGATGTAAGGTTACATTATATACAATATTGTGGTCCTCCATACTTTTGAGTAAAATTGCAAGAGGGACCTGCACAATGTAGCATTACATAATTACCAACAACATTCAATAACATTATTGTTGTGCCAAATCATGGACACGTGTAAGTAACATTTTGGGACCTCCACCCGATTTGTGGCAGATATGTTCATGTATCAAGTTTAATGGATTACGGTGAGGGTTGTTTTCCTTGGAATTTCAATATAATATTATATATATATATTTGGCTGCTCCTGAAGGACCTTCCCTATTTTCCCTCTAAGTTTTCCCTTGTGTATGATACATGTGTGTGTGTGTCTTGTTAAGTTGACACATTTAAACGACTTGACAGTTAATAAATTAGAGTTAATCAGACTCTCAGACACATACAAGTTTTGGCACCAGCCCAACATTTTTATCCGGACTGCTGGCCTCTTTTCTTTTTGCTCGAACTTCGTTTCAGACCACCGGTCGGTTTCGTTCGTCCTTGGTTGCGTTGTCCGCCGCCACTCAGGAGAAACTAAGAGGTGCACCGGACTGCTTGCTATAGATAGGAAACTTTTTTCGAGTTGAACTCTATTCTTTCCAGATGCCAGACACGTGTGCTCTAGTTGGATAGTGCCTACAGGATCTATGATCCTGTGCGAGTGCTGAAAGAAAGGTCATGCAGTTCAGCTACTGGCATATCAGGTCACCAAACACCTACGAAATTTTAACAATGGCACTGGGATACTTTCACATCACCGTACTTTTGACCCACGAATCCTAGGCTTTGAGACACATGCACAAAACACCGTGTTCACTGTGGAAAAATATGTAGTTCTTCATCATGTGACATCAAGACCGTCCAAGGACGACACCGGGGGTCCGGGCATTGTTCTTTCTATGCGGGATGTCGGTTCGTTCCCATGTCAAGTTCCTACCATCTATAATTCCTGATTCGTTTGGGCTTGACAAACGTTTGCTGAGGTTTCTCAACAACGACTGGAGACAGAAGCCACCGCCCAATGGTAGGTGACACGGCTTCAAAGGAACAGTGTTATTGGGTCGTAGCAGAACGCAGTAGCACAGCAGTGCAGCAGGACAGATGTGCAGACGTGTAGACTTGGACTTTGCATGACTGATGACACTGCTTTCATTTTCAGCGGGGCCGGTTCTTGGCTATTGCATGCTAATTAAGCTGGCTGCGATTGCTGATGATTCCAATCGGCAAGCTCTCAGGCTGGACTGGCCCAAGGAGTCTGATGGGATTCAGCTGCAGATCACAACAAATAACTACATTTGTTGCTTGGCTTTAGGGCAAATTTGCCAATGCATTCCTTGGATATTCCAGGGCTTCACCGTGCTTCACTCTTCAACCAGTCGACCTGACTTCGGAACTCAACAGAGAACCGAGGCGACGATGAAGGGAAAATTGAGCCATGGGAGGTGGGCAAGAGCAAGACATGGTGCGAAGAACCGTCTTTTTTTGTAGAACATGGAATGCTCGCGACTTGCTACGCTCCACTTTTGCTATAAGAGGGATTTGGGTTTCTGTGTTCAGCCAGAATCACAAGAGGTGTGTGGGTCCATCTTGGCGCGGTTTTTCCATGCAGATGGCGTCGGTTTGTGAGTTTTGGGTGCTCAGGGCATACAGCTTCACAACGATCATCCGCCCCCGCGGCCTGGCGTCGCCCTGCCGTGCTTGAGGAGGAAGTTGGCACGTGTTCAGAGAGAGGGGAAGCAGGTGTGTATATCTCTGTCTCTCTGTGTGTGTGTGGGGTATCATGTCATATAATGTCACACACACACACACATATATATATATACATACAGTTAGAGGACGTTAACATCAAATTGTCCTGGTTCTGTCATTCTTGCCCGTGAATGCCAGAGCATTCCGATCACTTTTGGCCGGTTCGACGTCCAGCGCCTTGCCAATACAAGCTTAGATCCAAAGCTCGCAAGAATGGCTTGTCAACCTGTTGTTTGGCACCATTTGAGGGATGCAGATGCAATAGATGTCTTCAATGCCTTGGCAGATACGAAGTCAGAGGCCCCTATCCGTTTAATGCTGTGGCTTACCTCCAGGTTTGGCAATTAGCTGCATGTCAAACGGCATGAGGACACATGATCTAGTTTATTAGCTTGATTGACTATCTAGGGCTTGCCCTACTTTCATGAATTCAGCGATGCTTTAGTACCAAACGGACAGAGGTTTAAGATGGTTTAAGCCCATGGACTGTCTTCCATGCCAAACCAGCGCCTGAAGGAGAAATGGGATGAGCTGCTGATGAATGGTCCGGGAGTTACGCACCCAAGCTGAAGCGCTGTAGCTTTGAAGCTTTACTTGCTTTACCTACTTTGCTTACTTCGCCTGTCAGGTACTTGGGAGACTTCGCCAAAGAAAAGGCGAGGGGCGCATCTGTGAGCTTCGTGGCGCGGCCCTTTCCAGATCGCCAGGCTCAGATCGGACCATGGACCATTGTGACATCGTTGACAAAGGTTCCTTTGTCAATACCTTTGGCCAGGTTTTCCAATGGATGGTTTACAATTCCACGCCCAACTATGATGATATGCCTGGAAACCCAAGTGAACTCGGTGAGCGGATGCCGGGCTTTGAGGTGATCTTGACTCAAATGTTATATAGACCATTCAGTGAGCGTCACTCAAGAACAAGGTGGGTGGTCTACTCGACTCGGCGGAATGATGTGCTGCACCATCGCGGGGTTGAAAACGAAGGCCCGGGTGTGTCCAAAGCACCTTAGTTCAATCTTTCCGTTCTAGATTCTGGACTTCTCATCAGGGTGGCCTGCGGTGCAAGCCCAAAACTGCTTGGGGTGGACTTGGTTGCAACGAGCAGAGGGAGTTTTAGTCAAGCTTTTGTGTGGATGCTTTTAGTTTTCGTTTGGATGCTGCGTAAGGGCGTATCATGTGGTCGGCCTTCCACAAGGCGGTTGCCATGCAGCTTGGCTCCAAACTCTTGTGTTAGATCGCATGGATGATGTTTTGTCTACTCTCTACACTCATTACGAAAATTCAAGTTTGACTGAGTGCTTCGGGGGATCTCCGATTGTCAGAACGACTTTAGGTCGTTTTCAGCACCATGGTGAACTCATACCCACCGTGGCCGATCACTGCGCAGCCTCTCAACCTGCAAGATCACGCAACACTCGCTACCACTCGCTCCCTTTCCATCCAGTGTCCACCTTCCATCTCAGTGGGCACCGGATTCTGCTGAACCCTAAGGTTCGTCTTCAACATAGCATGGACGAAAACCGCAGACTACATAGAGGCAAGACGCCTAAGAACACATTATAGAAGGAGCATTTGCTGATGGGTTTCCTTTCCAGCCTTGCTTTGCCTTTAGCTGATTCTGGCCACCCCTGGGCCAACATGCAAAACCCGGCAGCAGAGCCCCTGGGTCAATACTCGTGGTTTTCTTTGTGCATGGGGCTCTTGACAAACCGCCGGCCGTGCCAGCACATCCGTTTGCGTGCGCAGCTTCTCAAAAAGAGGTGGGGGAACACGTGTGGCTGGTTCTTTTCACGCCTTAGCGCATTGCTTTACACACAGTGGCGTGTCGTATCATACAGCCTACCCTTGTGCCAAGACCCGGCTTTCGTGGGCAGGCGGCTTGAGTCAGGCAACAAGTATGAGCTCGCATCTTGACTGCAGGAAGGTGAAGGCCTGTTCCTCCTAAACTGCTTATATACTTCTTCTTATTCACCTCATAGGATGTTGCGGAGTTATATATATATATATACATACACACATACGCACGAATTATATATATATCTGGATTCCCGCGCCAACCGTCGTAGAACGACAGTGTCCTGTGAGAAAGCTTCAAGCCGTAGCGCCAAGGTCGTGCCACGCTGGCTGGTTTTTGACGACTTGAAGCCCAACAAGGCCTGGTTTTAGGGGGTCATTGGCCAAGGATGTCAGGCAGCCCTGGTTTGAGGTGATCATCTCTCACCAAGCTACTCATGTTGTGTAGGTAGGCAAGGAGTGTGCTGACCAGGTTTTTGTTTCCCTATGGGTCACCATGCCCTTTTAGGCGAACCCTGAAGCCCTGTAAGCCTCACGGTTCGCCCGGTGCGAAGCTCAACTCCACTCGACCGCACAGTCTGAATCTGGAGACAACTTTGTGGCAGACAGCAAGAAGGTTATCCCACCTTTTCAAGGCGGGGGTTTTCAAGTTTCAAGTGATACGATTGTGTGTTGTTGCCTGAGTCTTAAAAGACCTTTGTCGCAACAAACATGTATTTATTTATTTTTTTGGCAGGACCTGACTACATAGCTGCCTTTTGGCATCAACATGCTTTGTGAATTGTGTTGACTGCTTCAGTTGGGAAGGTCCCAGCACGAGCATCTAGCTGAACCTAGCTGAGGACATCATTCAGACAGACTTGCTCAAGGACCTGAAAAGGCTTGCATCATCCTCTCACACATCTTTTGGTGTGTTGTTGCTTGTGGTGCCTTGCCTAAGAACGGGGATGACCTGATTCTTTTCCATTGAGATCTTCCCAGTGACACAACGATCAGACCCACCTGGTCAGTCTCAGGTGCCTGGTACCGCTGTTCTGGGCCTCGCGCTTTGGCGGGCACGTGGAAGATTGATGCTTCAAGGACTGAGGCTTGCCAGGTTGATGGCAGCTATAAAAAGCGCATTTGCATGCATTTGCAGCGTTGGCACAGTGCCACCATGATTCCACACTAAGTCACTAAGCACTTTCTCGTTTCAGGACAGGATGTAGAAATTGGAGCAAGTCCACCTTTGCTGGAGTAAATGTACCTTGCCGTTTCACCAAAAAGGGTCGAAAGGTGAGGAATTCACATTCTTTTAGCGATTTGTAGACTGATGCGCTCCTGGCATTCGCCGGAAGCATTCGCAGGTGGCAGAGGAAGTCAGTTCGAATTTACATCGGCATCATCACAGCATGAGCCGAATGAGCCCGAATGAGCCGTGAGTTCTTCACCGCATAGGGTCACAGCCATTCTAGGTCAGACCTCATTGCAGATGAGAAGCAAGACGATTTTGTAATAGGCTTTGTTTTTCATTCATTTTTCTCAATTTTTCTCATGCTTAGAGCTTCAAGACTGGCATGGTGACCACTTGTACAACACAGTTTTGTGGTGCGTCGCAGTCTGCCCAAACGTGCATGCTGTTTTCGCATGCTGGGGCAGTAGACTGCTTCTTCTTTTGTTGGCAGTAGCTCTCTACTGTCTGGGATCAGGTAAAGCTGCCACAGAAATTGTGCGGGCATGTGTTCCGGAAGCTGCATGCTGTTGGGAATCAGGGAGGCTGAACCTACCCCACACCGTCTTGAAAACGTGCACAGGGCCTGGAAAGCCTTGATGGTGATGGGTTTTCAGGGCCACAGCGGAGCCCAATGGGCGTCTTGCTGTCCCTGGCTTTTCAAAGCGCCGGTCCTGGCCGTCCCTGATCACAGCCCCAAGGAGGCTGGAATTGAGTGGCTGCGTACGCTTTGTGGTGCCCACGGGCAGACATCTTAGCAACTGCTTGCCTCAGTCGTATTGAACTTATATAAGCTTATAGCGATGGCCTCCAATCTTGAAGTGATGGCCTCCAACCGCCTCCAACCTAATAATTAGTTTTCTCATACTGTAGTTTCTCCAGCAATCCGGCAACCGGGATGATCCACCAGTGTTGGACTACTTGCATGTACGATTGCCCTGGGAGGCTCGCAACGATGATCGGACGCCCGAAGTTCCGCCTTTGGGACCGCACTGAATAGATTTGTACTGACTGTACTCGATCATTGTCACAACCAGTAGCTTCTTGTTACTAGCTACTCGCTCCTAGTAGTACGGCCAGGAGCCCCTAGTAGCGCCCTTGCTCCTAGTAGCGTCCTTGCTCCTAGCAGCCATGGGCCATAACCAGTAGCTTCAATTTTGCCAAGGGAATTCTTCTTGGAGGGCATGGAGACGCCAAAGCCAGAGACAGATAGTCGTGACTTGATCCATGCCAACTTCTGTGCTTTCCAGGAAGAGATCCTTGCTTGCCCTAAAGCATTTCATGCCTGTGAGGATAGTTGACAGACTCAATTTTTTGCAGCAAAGGACTCAAATTTTTGCGCCTGCAGCCCCCATGCCGTTGCCAGTGCTTGTTGTGACTGGCTTCCTGGGCAGTGGCAAAACCACTATGGTGAAGCAGACGCATGGCAAATAAGTCCAAAGACTGTGTGTGCATGGCTTTCAGATTGTATGGAAATTTCTCTACTCTACAGTCACCCAAGGCTCATGAAGCGCCGGAGCAACCTTCGTGTTGCTGCTGTTGCACATGACCTTGCTGCCACAATCAACGTGGATGCGGCCTTCCTCTCATCGGTGGCCGACGTGCAAAGAGGCAAAGTTGGGCAAGTGGGGTTGCACTAGTGGAAAGCCGCTTAAACCTGCTGTTCATTTTTGCTTGCATTGTGTTGGGATTGATGGTGAATCGTAAGTCATGCGGATCATGCTGGTGGAAGTACGGAGGTCTTGGCAAGGGGGAATCACTCTTCCAGCAGACCATGACAGCCTTCCGCGATGGTGACGTAGCGGCTTTGTCAGGGTGCGCTTCTCGCTGGCAGAGTCTCCGTGATTGACAAAGGTCCCGCATCGATGAAGCGTTCGTCGGCCAAGGTTTGTTGTCCGGGCTTCGATGACGCGTTGTCATTTGCGGTTCGCAGTGCGCTGACGCAAGGCGAGGTGCTGGCACTTGTGAAGGTGACAACTTGAGATGTAAAAGTGGCTATGTCACTATGTTATATTTGTATCGACCAAATCGTGTCAAGTCGTGTCCAAGCGCCTAAGAATCAAAGCAAAAGAGACTTTGTGTGTTCGGGCTTTATGGAGAGATTTTGTAACGCTAGGCCGCTGACACCTGCACTCATTCTAAGCAATCCCATGCGAATAACAGCGCAAACCCTAACCCAAAATCGTAAGCCCTAAAATAACCCTGGTACTATATAGCATGACGTTGATTTGTTTGCACAACGTTTGGACGAAAAGAGGCGCAGACACAGGGCTCTTGGACTACTTGGTGGTTGAAACCAGCGGAGCTGCCGATCCGCGAAGGATCGTTGGAGCTCTGGAGGCGTCGTTTTTCCGAGTGATGTTGACTTGTGCAAACTGCAAACTGGCGCTGCATGATTATAATATATGTGCAGCTGTGCAGCTACATGGTTCCCTCTTAGGCTTACTCAATGCAGCATGCCAAACCATTGATTTCTAGTACGTAGTCTATGTGTGCCGCTTGTGAGAAACCTGTTCCAAAGCCATAGTAGACAGCTCCTTGGTAAGTCAACCTTTTAAGGTTCGGTTTGGGCCCCTGGCACGAGTGCGCCTTGACCGAGTGGCGACTGTGGTTGATGCGGCTTGGCAAACAGACTGGCGGATACCAATGGGATTTTTGGCATCACCAGCTGGGTCAGGCCGAACGAGTGGTCGCAGAAGGCCAGCGCTGGGAACTTGCACAGGCCACCGCTTGTGCCGAAAATGCTGTTTGTCCTGGAATACCTTTAGCCTTTAATGGAAATGACGTCCATTTCCACCAATCATTCATTGATCTCCCTGAGCGGTCCTATCCTATCTCTAGTAGACACGGGTGGATTATGGGCATATGAGCCGGGAGACTTCCACGCTGGAAGATTTCCATCTCGGTGTCCAGGAGCAGCAAACCGCTGAAGAACAGCTTCAGCTGGTGCAGCTGTCGGTCGCAGATCTGGTCCTGCTGAACAAGGCCGGTATGTTGGGGACATGCGTGACATGGATTAAGTACAAGTTAGACAAACTATATAAATAGCACTCAACAATTCAAACATAACACTTAGATCCATGCTCGCAAGAGCTCTATCAGTTATGACTTCCACGTGAGGCTAGCGTGAGGCTAGCACTTTACGTTACTGAAAGCTAGACCTTGACTTGCAGAACGGCAAGAAGTGCTGGATCGGTTCAACTGAAGGTTTTAACAAGGGCTCGTTAGCACTTTACCAGTGAATTAAAAGGAGGAGTGGCCACCAGCTGTGTCTTACAAAGCGCCCAAGTGCACCACTGCAGGTACGTTTCCACAGGAAACGTGCAGCGTCTTTGTTGGTCGCTGACTGCATGAATCCCCAGCGACCCCGGTAAGCAATTATCACTATTTGCAAGGAAAGGCCTTTCTTTACCGACCATCATCATCCACTGTTACTGGTAACTGTTACTGGTAATAGGACAGACCACACACACATATATGTATATATTTTAAAATACTTAGTGTACACGTTGAAAGCACACATATAAAGCAATAAATACATAAAGTAAGTTATATAGATATAAATAAATAAAACAAAATATATATATACACATACATATTCATCACTACCACCATGTAACAGTGCGAGAGTTTTGGAAGACACATGTGGAATCATGGGCTTGCGCAAATGCTTCAAGCTCGGAGCCACTCGGCTCAAACAACGGGAGAGCTAATGCCATGGACCCCACAGACCGAGCAGCGGGGCCAATCTGGCCTTTCGTCAAGACTGCAGCGCTAGCCGTTGAGCAGGCAGGTTTCAGATGAGGGCTGGTCCAAATCCCCCGTTTTCTTTTTCAGAGGATGAGAGCCCCCCTTTGTCAAAAAGCTGACTGTGTAACCACGTTGTCCCGAATTGAACTGATCCAGTTGAGATGGGGAGATGTACCTGCAGAGTGGGGTGAAGACTTGGAAGGCCCTAGACCTTGCCGAAGTTGGGCCGGAAGACGTCTTGGTGGATGCAGGCTGTGGAGATGGGCAGGCGTGAAATGGGTTGATATCCGCGAGCGTGATTTACCGTGCCTTTTCCTTCCTGGATGCAAGGGTTCTTCGTAGAATTGTTCGCACTCAGGTCTGCTTAGCTGCAGCTCGGCGACTCTCGGCCTGATTAGAAATGTCCGAGTGGTTGGCTCACTGAAGGGTTTGCGGTAGAGTCTTGGGCCATGATCCTTGGCAGTGAAAATGCAGAAACTCTTGCCCCAACTTTGCCAAGGTGGTGCACGTGCTGTTGGATGGGATTTGGATGAGAATCTGGTGCAGGAGACCCGCAGACAAACGGCTCGATGGCAGATTGCGGCCCATATTCAAGCAAGGGTGCAACCGCAATCAAAAAGGATTTGGGATTACCTTGGGCTAGTTTTTGACAGTTGGCAGCTTTGAGAGAGAGCCACCGATTCCGCACTCTTGCGTTGTGGTGTGACTTCTGGCAGGAGTGTCGCCGCAAAGCCCGGGCCCAGGGCTACGAGACGCTTTGCAGCTTTGAGCGTCGAGATGCTTTGGGCTGCCAGTCGCAGAGCAGAGGCAGGAACCCTGGGGTCCCTGAGAGCAGAGACACAAGCTCGGCCCAATATGGCAGTGTTATGCGGTGTATGTGTGCCACTATGTAGAGGCCGCCATTCTGTGACAATCTTTGAACGGTCAATCTTCGTAAACGTCATACTGTTTTTCTGCTAGTAGAAAAAATTGGCAAGTCTTTAGCTGTGCCGCGTGCTGTTCCATGTGCTTTCGTTTGATCCTTCGGCTTTCGCTCTTTGAAAGGCCCAAGCCTCTACCAGTCCGAGCCAAAGGGTCCAGGACGATGGTTACCACACGGAACGACTGTACTGTTCAAGCCCCAGCCACCGCCCAATGCAGATGAACTCACTCTCCGATTTGGCAGGCTTTGGATGATAACAGTCACTTTTTGAAGTATATTTACTGTACACTCCAACTTGAGCTTAGCAATGCTTAGTATAAGCATGTATGAGCCAAGGTTTCTCTTTGCCACAGATGAAGTCCTGGAGGACGAAGTCAAGTTCTTGGAATCTTTGAGCAAGATGCCACGCCCCTCTTTGTTTCTTTCCAATGAACGTGTGCATTGACCCGAGAGAGATGGAACTGAGCACCCTGAGGAGCTTCGAGCTCGCCTCCAGGCTGTTGTACGCGAAGGGGTGAGAGTCCTGACATACAACTACAACGCACCCTGGCTGCTTTGCTGCAGCTTACCTGACAAGACTGCAAAGGCAATTCCAAAGACTGATGACCGATACCCTATGTCAGCACCGAATTAGGTCGTTGTTCAGTGTTTAGTCTACCCGACGGAGTGCAGGAGAGATGGACAAGGCCACAAGGTGTGCAGGTTGCTTTATGTCACCAAGAGAAAGGCTTTAAGGAACATGCCGTTGGCTTGCTGCCTTTGGCTTGCGCTCATGCCGTGTCCAGTGTCCAAGGCTTCCGGAACAAGCCAGCATCAGGCGTGGAGCGGTCAGGCTTTACGCCATGCCAAGAGGTATGCCTGTCAATCGAAGCCAAGAGCAAGAGGGCGGGTATGCAGCAAACAACGTGCTTCAAAGCGGCTTGCTGGAAATGGACTGAAGACCTAGCTTGCGACCGGCGACCTTGGCCTGGGAAGACCGCGAGCGCAGTGAGCGGGGTGACAAGGCATACCATAGCCGCCATAGTTGAGAACGTGAACGTGTGTGTGGTGCTGACGAAGTGATGAGTCTGGTGCTGAGTCTCACCGACTCACTGAGTCCAAAGCGAGCCAAACCATTTGGATACAACGTGCCGAGCGGCCCATGGATCTCCACGGCCGAGCGCAGCATACGGTCAACAGAACCACGTGAACATGTGGCATCACGAGGATTGAGCGCCAGTAATTCATTTTCGTGCAGATGCTCAAGAAGAGCCTGCAAGACGAGGTTCAAGCATGGCAAAAGCCGGAGAGCCTCGTATTGCTATGACATGTGTGCCCATGAGTATGGTGACTTCATGCTGGTCAGGTCAGTGAAATTTGGTGATGTAATGCGAGAGTCTGAGTCTGGCTGCTGGGACAGGTCGATCTTATCAAGGACGAAGATGTAGTGTGGGCAAAGCAGCTGCTTCAGAGGCTTTGTCCGGATGCTAAGGCACGGTATGTCTTGGTGTGGGGCTGATGGCGGCCGCATTTCTGCACCGGGAGTGGGACAAGCAAGAGACGAACTACCAATGGTAGGTCATCCATGCGACACCACACTTCAGCGGCATATTTATATTCTTACAACTTACGACTTTGCATTCATCAACTACCACCTTTGCCCATCCTCATCTCCAGATGACAAGGCTTTGAATCGTGGCAACAATATCCTGGTTACGAAAGGTAGCCCTCAGGGGGATACCATGAGCTTGTTTTGCGAAGCAAGGGTTGGGAGGTCCAGATCAAAATTTTGCTTCATCAATTCTAACTCACCATTTTGTTGAATTGATATATATATATATAATATAACATATATAATATATATAATATATAATATATAAATCTGCGGATTTCGCAACCCCCACCGGGTCTCAGTGCATCATTGAGCATCATGGGATCAATCGGATCTACGTCAATCTTTGACCGATCATTGGATCAACGGAATCGTGCCACGGATCGTCGGATAAAGCTAGCTGTTAGCACACGGACCAGCTGGAAAACCGCAGTATCGCAACATCGGAGCGGCAATACTCGAATCAGCAGAATCAGATGGTCGGATCAACGGATCATCGGTTCAATCATCGATCATTGGAGCAACACTCGGATCAGCGGGATCACTGGCTCGATCCCATCATCGGATCAATCAACTCGGCGGCGGATCAGCGGAGCATTGATCATCGGATCAACGGACCATCGGATCGATCTCGAATGCTTCAGAACCCTTGTTGGAATAACCTCATGATGGCTTCCTTGTTCTCTATATGTAAAGTGTAGCCGCTTTGGAGAGTCAGTGTAGTAGGTTGAGGAGGACACTGAGGACACTGATCAGAGCAAATTCATCTCTCACAAAAGCTTGCTTGATGTACTTTCCGTTTCACATTCGATCTTCTTTCGCTGAAGATACTAGTGACGAAGACAACCCTTTATCGACGGCCCCCTATCCAAAGTGGCTTCCAACAACAAGTACTGCTTAAAATGTTTCTTCCGTTGTTTGCATGAGCATGTCTGCGCGACAATAGGATTTCCTGGCAGGTGCTGCCCTGTCGTCACGGGGACGTCCCTGTGCCGGATCTTTTGGATGTAGAGGTGGCCGAGGCTGTGCCGACAGCAGCCATCTCTCATGAGGAGTGACCCGGGGTCGAAGAAGACCAACAATGAAGCATTGAAGATAGGAACGGCAGAACAATGCAGAACAACATATTACAAAAGCCAGCTGAAGGCTAGGCTGGCGTGCGGGTGGTGATTGCCGGGGGGGTAAACTTTTGGAAGGGTGAACCCAGAGCCTGGGGAAAGCGACAAAAATTGGGTGGGCAAATTATACACACAAAAAAGAAACGGTACAGATGGTACTCTAAACCTGCTCTAAGTTTGCTTTAAACTGCTCTGAAGCTACTCTAAGCATACTCTGAAACCACTCTAAACCAACCTTTATGTGCTCTAAGCTCACTCTAGAACCACTCTTAACCACTGACTCATAACTACTCTTAACCACTCAGTCCAACTCTATTATACATTACTATATATTCAACTCAGCTGGATACCTATAAAACTTCGCTTTTCGATGAGAATCATTGCTCAAAGCCAATGGAAATAGAAAGGTGCTGCGGTCATTGCAGGACAGGTTGCAAGTAAGTGCATCCCCGAATATGGCAGAGCCAATGGAGCATTGTAGAGCTATGAGATGCTAACAATATAACGCTGTTTGTCCAAACACGCTTTCGAGACAAAACAAGTGCTCCGTATCTAAACTGCATTACTGTAGAAACATGCAGCACTGGCTTGGAGCGCTAACGTGTTCCAGTTGCCATGGTGCGTGTCAAATGCTTGTCGCTGCATTATCTGTTGACCTGCCCCCCGGGTAAACGCTGGTTGATGATGAGCAGCCGTTGGGTTGATTGATGATGAGCCCTCAGTGGATGATAGGACAAATATATACATGGTTGAAGCCGAGATGTTTGGAGGCATTTGGGGTGACTACTGGGAGGATAGATGGAGGGGAGCGCTGGAAGGTAGCTATTCTGCAGGAGAGACAGGTTTGCGAACCCGTTGCTCAAAACTACTCGAACTTATTCAAAACGTTTTGAGGAGGCTTTGAGTGGCCCGTGCTACCCATCGCTCAAACTTAATCAAAATGCTTCAAGTATATAGATTATGAGGTTGGCAACAGGAAAAGCCGGGGACAGGTCAATAATGCAGTTGATGAGGTGCCTATGTTTGAAGGCATTTGCTGCTGGAAGTGTGCCAGCGATGATCCTGTCGTAAGCCAGATTCATGGTCAAAGACGCAGATTGAACCAATAAACTCCAGGAAGGTCAAGAAAGCTTCCGTGAAGGCAGCTAAGAAGGACAAGAAATCTAAATAACTGAGCGGAAAGGACATTTGACAGGCCCCCCGAAGACGCCACCATGGCCAGTTGATGATGCAAAAGATCTCGGGTCACGAATCACGAATCAGAGAGTTCTCTCTAGAGTTTGCGGTTGTGACCCTGGAACTTTGGAGTGTTTGAGACACACGTGCTCACCTATTCCATTTCCGCTCCCTTTCCCACCAAATGAAACCAATCTCCCTGACTTGTCGGCAAAGTGCTTTGGAACTGTTGCTTTAAATCAAGGATGAATTTTTGTTGGTGCTGCCCCTTTGCGCTTTGTTTGAAGGCCGTCCCAGGGCAAACATGCGCACCTCCGAAAAGCTTCCAGTGATAAGACCTAGGCAAAGCGGGACACGGCAGATGCATCTCGGAACAGTGTAAAGGGTTCTTGCGAAAGCAGTTGGCATGATCACGAAAGCTAGCCTTAGCTAGCTGGAGTTGCTCTTGCTTTAGCAAGTTAAGTGACGGGGTGGACGCACCTCAGAAACCTCAAATAATTGATTAAATCAATCTTATGGACCCCCCCCCCCCCGCCGGGGTTCGACTCCCCCCTGCGCGCGGTGAGCGGGACCACCAAGCAGCTGCAGCACACCAAGCATCTGCAGTCTACCACCAAGCAGCTGCAGCAAACCACAAAGGAGCAGCAGCAGAAGCAGCAGACCCAGAGCAGCAGCAGCAGCAGCAGCAGCAGCAGACCACCCAGCCCCCGACTTGTTTGGACGAGGAGGCCCGGCTAGCTTTCGTTCACCCCCTCTGGCCTCAAGTAGGTGTATCGCGCAACATGGAGTACTCTTTTGATTCCCGTGTGCAACCCCTGCCTGGCTCAAACTGGAGACTTTCAGACTCTCAAGTGAGCTGCTTGGGTCAAAAGAACGCATTGCTTTAAGCGTTTGCGAGGGCCGGCTTTCGTCCCGTTACTTCTCAGGTTATACAGTGTGGTAATGCTAGACTATGCCATACTCTTTGCCCCTTACACACAAGGATAACGTGTGTCAGTCTATGCTTGACACGGAAAGACTTTTGATCAGCACGTAATTGCTTTTCTTCCTGCGGAAGACGAGTTGATAGTTTTGATCCATAGGCCGCTTGCTTGCAGGACAATCCCACGTGCTGGAAGGCTGGGGCCATCCAAGAGCCTTGACAGATGCGGGGCATGGGGTTTACGGATGTGGTGCTGTTGGCGTTGATCCGACTGCCCTGCCCAGATGTCCAGCAGCAGCACCGAATCCAGTCGTCCAAGCCATGACAGAGGCTTCAAAGGAGTTGACATGAACATCCATCACAGAGTCGCAGTCACTTGGTCTGCAGCTTGTCGTTGGCTGTGATTTGGGTGACTGGGATGGTCAGCGCCCCTGCTCAGGAATGGTCCACCCGCGATCGGGGGTCCAAGCCAGTGAGGCTTGCTCGGTTGCAACACCTGTTCCTTGACACACTGGGATGCGAGAAGCGAAGTAGCGTTCGCAGTTTTTGGCCAAGAGGCACATCAAAGGTAATGTTTTTCTTTCGAACATATCATGGACCTGGCTAATCACTGTAAATGGATGTAAAATTGCTATTTGTTTGGAATTGAGGCTTTGCGAGAAGCTGCCGCGACTGAGACGCTGGCTGCGCCGTGGCAAGGGCTTGCTGCGGGTGGCGGAAGCTTGGGATGAGTTCTTGGGGTCAAGTCGAGCATGGCAACCTGGGGTCGTACAATGTCGTACATCTCCTGTCTTCTCCAGTGAGCCCGGTGAACATCGACCCAGAGGACGTCAAGTCACGCCAAATCCCCTTTTGTATCCGCAGCTTCCGGTCGTTTCTGTTGGAAACCGCTTGTCTGGAGAAAACACATCTATCAATTGAAGGATGTCACGGCTGACCACCTCCAGAGTGCCCCGAGGAAGATCCATCAGCGCGCTGGGATTGGGAGCTGAGTGGCCAACTGCGCTACAACCTCCGGCGTTCGGGGGGCACTGTGCCATGGAGCACATTGGCACCTTGCATGCATTGGTTGGCCGGTTGAACCGACGGAACCCATGCTTAAGCAGGACCAACACATTTTGAGGAAATGTCTTTGAGTCTCCGTTTTGAGGACATAGGAAGTAGCTAAGATCAGATCTTGCAATCGACTCGGTGCATTTTGACTTTGCCCTTTATCGAGGTTCTGATCTTCTCAGATGGCGCCTGGGGCCTGGGACAGACATTTGTTCATTTTCAATTTTCATTTTGTTTCCTCTCGCAAGAATCTGCAATTATTGTTAAGACTATGGAAGAAGCGCCGGAATTTCTGCATTGGCCGATAACCGGGTTGCCAGACAAACATCCAAAGTACAGAACAACCGATAGGATTCATGAACAGGGGCCAACCCTGTTCTCCACTCCTATCTTCCCATATCTCCACCACCACCACCACCACCACCACCACCACCACCACCACCACCACCACCACCACCACCACCACCACCTTGTGTAGCACCAGACTGCAGACATGTATTTTTTCCACTTTGGGCCTGGAGGCGTCCCAGAGGACAAATTCCAAGAGGTGCTCTCAGCTTTGGACCAGCTGACTGAGCCGCAGCCTGGGCACCCGCGAAAGGTGCGCACAGAGGGGCCGGGGTCATGCGGTTGCTCAGCTATTTTTGGGTAGTTTTGGTTGGGCAATTGCCCAGATGCTTAATGCATCAGATGTGACATGCCAGGGAGCCGGGCATTTCCATCCTTTTAATTTGACTTTGTGGCTCCTCAAAGCCAACCCAGACGAACAAACTAATGGATGGGCGGCTACTACGCAGTCTTGGAGAAGATGCATTTCTTGGAAGCGAGTGCTACAGTATGCTTTGGAGTTTGCCAGGACCTTGCTAATGAATTGTCGAATGGCAAGCCAGCTTTTGAAATACTGGACGCCCCAGATGGTGCTGAAGATGCTTGCTTGCGCTTCCGCCTAACAGGAGGGACATACTCTGCGTGATGATTGTTTTGCTTGTAGATTATGTTGGTAACACTCGTAGGAAGGCACGAAAGGCTTTGAGGGTGGTTCTCTGACTGCAAAAAAACAGCAGGCCGGGAGCATTTCAAGTTGCCCCTTGACCTGGACTTAGCTGAGCACCCGTACCGAAGCTTGGCCTCATTGACTGGCCGGACAACGGGTGGAAGTGCTACGGCCGCACGCCATGAGGCATTGATTTGAACTCTTTGAATGCAGAGCTGGCGCAGCTGGTGAACTCTCAGAAAGGCCCTGCCTTCTTGGGTACAGGCCAGGACACTGACCTCGGCCAAGTTCGACCTTTCTCTCTTGCGAGTTGCTCCCAGAGTTTTGATCCACCATTTGATCCTTGCAGGAGATGGCATTTGCCCCGCCTCCCGGTAGCATGGTGAAGAAGGCGCTGTGTAATGTCATTGATGCACATCTCAAGGTCACCAAAGGCAATGTGCTGGCATTGCTGTGGCCGCTGGACCTACCTGCAGTGGAGGCCGAAATCGGCGGCTTGGCATGAGACGACTTCAGAAGTTGTGTGGAGACTATTTCAGAAAGGTTAATTGGCTTTATGTCCGATTTGAACATTCATTTGGCTTTCCCTGCTTTTGGCCTAGGCGTTCCACAAGCCGATAGCTTTTCAGCCACTATGGCAGCTGCCAGGGGGGAAGCGCCCGAGCTTCTGACACGACACTTCAGCCATGTGAGCGGTTGCCACTGCGGACAGTAAGAAGTGAAGCAGCGGCGCAAAGAACCAAAGAGTGGAGATGTTTCACAATTCCATCACATCCTTGGTGGCCCGATAGGCTCAAAGAAGACACGGCTTATTTTCATGGAAGCCAGGTTGGAATCAGGCGAGGTCACCTTCGACAATTTTGATGAACTTTGCATGGACCGCCGGGAGACCAAGAACCAGATTTGCTGGAATCCGGAGGTGCATGGAGAAGGGCAATTGGAGTGATGGTGAGTGCTTCAGCTGCCTCCTGACATTTTTGGCCCAAAGGGTTGCCAGGCCCTTCTAAATCATGCTGGCTTGTAGTTGATCAGCTGCGGCCTCCGGCAGAGCCAGTCGCTTTCCTGCGCTCAAAAATAGAGGAGCCCGAAGTGGCGAAGCGGCTGGCAGGAATTTCTCTCTCACGTTTGTTCCTGCACGGCAAGTGTCTTCTTGCAGCACTCATGCTCGTGATGCTCACGAAGTATCACATGCGACGGCCAGTTGTGACGTTTGATTAGATAGTGTGATGTTTTCGTGGGCTGGGCGATGCCTGCCGCAGTTGGTTTGGAAAGCGTTCACTGAGATCAAGAATGGAGCAACAAGGAATATTTGGACGGTTGAGTGCACAATTTGCTTTCCAAATTCGTATAGGTTTTGTGGAACAATATTCCGACATGGATTGCCGGGACGTGTTTTGCTCCGGTTACCCGGTTTGTCTTGCACCACTGAGCAGTACGGAAACATATGTCACTTGCGAACAGGAAAGTCCACATCCGTCCCAGATCTCCAATGTCAGGAGCTCATGTCGGAGGCTTCTGCAAGGAGGCTGTCCCGCCAGGCCGGAAAAAGGTTGGGACTACCTTGATGGGCACGGTCTTCAAGGGTGCCGAAGGATTGTCCAACAGGGCAGAGGTAGAGGATTAAAACTGGATGGTGGCTTCATGGGATATTTATATAGACATTGTCATGGTTCTTTTTTGCCTACAGCGAATGGGCATAGTCATGCCGTCACAACTATCTAACGCGTACCGATGTGTAGCGTACTTTCCAGTGCTTGAGGCAGTGCTTGAGTGGAACATTGTGATGTCCCTTTAGTTGTAGCGCGACGGGGTGAGCAGTCCGTGTCTTTGTTGCGGCATCTTTTCAGTGCATGCGCAGGAGGAGGACGCTGATGGCGACAACTCGCCTATTAGGCCGAAGCCTCTGAAAGGATGAGTCTGAATAGGTAGTGTTAACTGCTGACAATTTAATATGAATCAACAATCAACATTATGAGTTGCGGCAATGTAGAGTTGTTGAAGGCAAAGCTCTGTGGCTCCAGGCAACGTGCCAACAGTGTCATGCAGACCATGTACGTTGCGCATCTAAAACCTCGGCCGCCCGCGCCTGAGGAGCCAAATCCTCCATTGAACATCTGCAAGTTCTAATTCATTATGGTTGATTTGAACTCTTGCTAGAAGAAGAACATTGTGCACTAAACAGTTCACCTTGGACCACCTTGGTTCTGCAGTTTTTTGCAACCTTTCCCATCTGTTCATGATTGTCCGAGGTCCATTGCAGAGAGCGAAGAACAGAAGCGGGGCCCCATGCGATCTCTAGGAAGTTCTGCGACTTGGCAGGTCTTCACGGACGCCTCTAAGTGGAGGTTCACACTGCACACCACAGAGGGAAGATGCAGCCGGTACAAGGGCGAATCGCTGACTCCGAATCCGTTTCCGAGTTCTGTGACGTGATTACTCACAAGATGTACATTGCGTGCCTGCAGACCTTGGATTAACCTATGTAAGCAGCGTGGAGAAGAGACATACAGTCTCACAAAAGCATCCCTTATTGTTGGACAGGCATATATAGATTGCTTGACATTTCCACAGGGTGGGAAGATGCTCTTCCTATCCCTGCAGGACGAGACGACTCAAGTCCGAAGACCTTGGCAGTTTCCTTCGGACTTGAGTCGTCTCGCAAAGTCACTGACGACGGCAGACACATCAAATGGAACCACCTGGAATCGATTGTCCGCATCGGATCCTCCGCTGCCGGTGCCACGGTTCAGGTAACGGCTTTGGAAAACTTTGCTTCAAAGGAGCTTCTGGAAAGAGTGCCGCTTTACAGCGGGTGCTCTCCAAAGTTCTTGGAGGCAAAGGGACGCTTTCCACGCTGAGGGTTGGCTGTTTTCTGATTTTACCATGATCCTTTTGAATGCTGAGAAACGGTCCTCATTTGCCCTTGCGTGCTTCCGCCCAAATCAGGCATTAGCACTGAAGCTCCATTCACGGCTAGTGGAAGCAGGCACAGACATTATAATTGAAGGTGAGGTGGGTGACCTGGCTTTGATGTATGTGATTTACGTTAAGTTAATTTTTATTTTTGGTTTTGAACATGTTTGAGATGGATATTCTTGAGACAACGTGCTGAGTGTACTAGCTGGTGTTTTGGTTGTGAGGTGATTCCATGTGCGTTTTGAGCCGTGGAGACGTCAATTTGATGAGGGACGGGGCGGTATTAGAGAAGCAAGAGGACTGAATGGAACATAATCTGCAGAGTGATCGCTGTGTGTGCGTAGAAAAGCAGCTGGCGAATGCCTTTTCATGCATCATTATATTTGAAGGCTTGAGTCAGCTTGAGTATTTCACTGGTCTATCTATACAAATCCTTCGCCAAACTCACAACGCTCAGTCCTCCGACCCGGAGGTTTGTTTAGGGACAGGGGTTGCTGGTGATGGCAGGACGGTGCTATTTTTGGGGAGATGTCATCCTTTTCCAGAAATCCAGCAGCTCCTCAACTTGATCAAGTGACATGCCGCGCTCGCAAGTTTGTTCTTCACTCACTTTTCAAGAAATGATAGACATAAATGACTTGCTCATGATTATATAGATTCATGACTCCATACCTAAATGCATTTGGTCGCTCGTTGGAAGCTCATTGTGTGGCTTCGACTGCGCACTGAGTTGACCAGTCGCTGGTGGACTGTTCGGGCTTCCTCGTTGTGTGATGTGAAGATCCTCTACCGTGAGGATGTGCTGCAGGCGGTTTGAGCTAATGGAGGGCACAGACGAAGTGCATGCACAAAGAGGGCATGCCACATCCACTCTCATTTATGCTTTGGGCTCTGGTGTGTCATACCCGCAGGCTCCAAATCCACGAACGCAATCATTAATCAAATGAAGCCAACTTGCTATGTTGGTTGATTTTGACCCAGTGATTGAGTCACTATCCTCTAGAGTTCTAGAGGAGGGGTGATGTAGTTCCACCGGCATCAAAAACACTTGCGTAGTTTGTAAGCTGCCATATGGAGACGCAGACAAAACCCAAGAACAACAGTGTCGTTGCTGCGATGCTTCGCTAGGTCCTGGCTCATTTTAAAGATGATGATTCTTGGGCCGAATTTATGCAGGTTCTATGTAGTCGGTAGGATCGTGTTTGAGGCCTTTCGCGGGGTGGAATCATTTTGCCCACATTTGCCCTCCGGTGGCACCTGATCGTCCGAGACAGATCTTTTGTTTTGTTATGGGAGGTTGCTGCGCGCTCATGCGCATGCGATACAACGCCGCAAAAAACACGGCACACGGCATTGTTCCTAACAGTGGTATTTTCATTTCACCGTAATTTGCAATGTTTATTCCCCAAACAGTTTACTGTTAGGGGTTCTCAATGCTTTAAAGAATGGTCGCCTTGGTGCTGGATGGTTTGGTCGGGTTCCCGGCCGGCTTGTCTCCCACTTCCTTTCATTTGTCTCCCAGCTCTTTTCATTTGTCTCCCAGGCTGGGTGCTTGTGGTCGGGTTCCCGG